GCAGCCATGTATCTGAGGCAGAAGCTCTTGAGTGTGTCTCATCTCTGTGCAAAGGCACATAAATGAGGAAGAGGAGATGGCACCAAGAAGGATGATCAGTGCCTGCAGGAACTCAAATCACCTCAAGACACAAGCTTTTGGATGTATCGAGAGTAAAATCCCATCCCAAGTAACTTTTATTGAAAAAAACAACCTCTCCAGCATTCAGCCAAAGTAAAGCCAACGGAAATGCTGTTTTTACAGAGAGAGGTGGAAACACATAAGGACATCACTTGCCCGACCAACTCATTACTGTAGGAGGAAGCAGATTTAGATCCTGAAGAGATACAAGAATCCACTGTGAGAAATCACCTTGCACAGATGAAAAATTTCATTCATGGAGGCTTCTGTGGGCAAACACACATGGATGTCAACATTGATGTCAGAAATAGTCTCAGCCACAGAAATCCCTTGTTCCCAAATCCAGAAAATTCACTCCACAATCCACTTAAATACATTTCTGCATTTACCAAACTAATTTTCTGCTATATTTAAGAATATCCTTACTGAGAAAAGAGCAGGCAGGTCCTAACTGTTCTAGAAATGACCCAATAAGCACATTAGGAAACATGGAGTCAGCTCTGTCATGACACCATCTCCTCAAATCTATGTAAGTGTGATTAAAACTACCTGGGGCTGACAGAGAGAACACCCGAAAACCAAACTGCTTTCAAAATATTGGCATAATAAAACTACCTCATCCACATCCTACCTGACCTTCCTGAGAGAAAAAACAAAAAGAAGCAGGATGAAGCAGATTTATCTCAACGTGCTCAGCTCATGAGGCAGGGCAGTACCTGAATGGGACTTAGGGACAGCACGGTGCAGTACAAGCAACAGCAGGGTGTCCCAGACAGGCACCATGAGCCATCACCGTGCCCACCCTCCTGTTTCACTGTCTTTTCCAACACCAGGTGACCTCAGTCACAGCCAGGAAACCAGACCCTATTGCAGTGGTCTGGAACAGCGTAACTAGCAAGTTTTGTAGATGTATGTAAGTAGGTCAGACAGAAAAGAAACCTGCAGGCCATCAGAATAAAATGCACTTTCCCATCTTCAAGATGTTCATTACAAATGCCTTGGGGTGACCTCATGAAGGGACATCCTTGCACATGGCCTGGCTATTTTTGCCTGCACAGCCTGCACTTCTAAATAAGCTCAGTCAATGAGGAAGGAAGAGATGGAAGCAATCCATCAGGAGACACAAGCCATTCTCAGGGAGTACTGTGGTATCACACCTGCAAACACCAGTGAAGGATATCCACAAAATCAGACCATGTCACCAGGATGTTACAGGATCCAGAAAAGTATGGAGAAGCCTCTGCTCATAGAAACACAGCTTCCAGAAAGGGCAGATGACCTTAAAAACCTTTAAGGCACTTAAATACCCTAAAGCCCACAATGGATTTCCATTCTTTGTTGTCTAACACAAATGAATTAACTTGCAGACAAGCCACTGCACAAGCTTTTCCTTCCAAGACAGAGGCAATTTGACTTACAGCCCTACTGTAGGAGGGAAGCCACCACCTCCTGAAAGCAATCCTACTGAGCAGGTCTTGAAAGCAAACCAGAAGGCAGAGACACAAGCCAATGGCTGTACCTACTGATGTCCAACATAAGGCATAAGAGCATCACTTCAAACAGAAAACTCCTGGCTCCAAGTTCACCAAGAAACATGTTTAAAAAAAAGTCAGGAGTCATTTGGCAGCTCTCCATCAGGTAATGACCTACTACACCAGGCTGGTTTCTAACAGACCTTCTTAAATCTACAGTGTGTGCAGACAGAGGTGTTTCCATTCTGACAGGCATTCTCTTACAGTAGTTCACAGGCATTTATCGGGAATATATGAATAAAATTAACACCTGTTTAGGCTCAGGCATTGTGATACTTCCCCAAAGGCTACCAAAGAGCCCTTAATTACACACCACATGCAGAACACCATCTACTCGGGGCTGTCAGACAGAAGAACCTTCACTGTCTGTTAACCATCCCTTTGCTGGACCAGGAAAGTTCAGCAGTTACCTTGCCTAGGCTACTGAGGCTCTGCAAAAAATAGCCATGCTTAAGAGCTGATCATCACTGCCACATCAGCTGTCCTCTAAATGAACATCTTAATGGTGGTACACTTCCCATGTACACCCCCCCACTCATACCTCTATACACAGGGGAGAAGTATCAACCTGCAGAGCACTCAAAGCCCAGTAGCTAAGTGGGGATATGTGAGCTCTGGCTGCAACTCTAAGGGAAAACCCAAGGCAAAAGCAAGCCTTTTCAGCAGGTTCAGGGAGAAAAAAGAAGGAAAAGAATCACCTATGGCTGTAAAACCAAAGTAAGAGTCTTTCACTACTCTGCTTCAGGAGTGGGGATTTAAAATGTTAATGTCTTCACAGTGTTGGGGTATTTTTATTGGCCTACCACCATAAGCACATCTATGAGGCGTTGGAAGATGTGTGGCACTCACAGATTTGTTAGGTACACCTGTACCAGCACCTGAGTATCAGCACAGGCCACCTTACCCAGCTTGGGTTCATCCCCCAGCACCAGCTCTGTTTACAACTGCCCCACCATGAGCACTTGGCATTAAATTGGTGTGATGAGACAACACCACAGCATTTCTCATCAGCCACTCTACCCCTGAGGTCGGGTCTTTTTGCCCTCCATGCCAGCTCATTCCTTGGTTGTGAAGTACCGTTGCTGAGCAGTGACAATTTGAATTTTCCCTTCAACAGCTGCAGCTATTCCCCCTGAACCACGAGGTATTTCTGTTGGAGCAGCACAAGAGCACATGGCAGTCATGTAGTTAAAATGCAGCCAGAAATTCAGAGGTTCTCTACCCAGCAAATCAAGAGTCAAGATGCACCTACCAGCTGCCTTCTGCAATCAAACAACTGGCTTGGGGAGAGCAGTGGATGTCATCTACTTTGACTTCAGCCAAGTTTCAGATACCATTCCCCACATTTTCATTTAAGAAGCTGAGGAAGTATGAGCCTGACAGACAGACTAGCTGTAAGCTGAAAAATGCCTAGGCCTTTAGGGCAGCAATCATTGGCATGACATCACATTGTGCTTAGTAAAAGTACCTGACAGGCTGACTACTGCAATCCAAAATGCAGTATTAAAACAATCCACAAATATTCTATAAAATGCTATTTTCTTAAGACACATTCCGTTAAGGTACCTAGAATGCAGCCTGCATGCTCCCAGGGACAGAAGAACACTGTTGCCTCAAGTAGACTTAAATACATGTTTTCCCTTTCCATTCCATTCTTATAACATTCTCCTGCTTCTGTTACATCAGCTTTCGAATTTTTTTGCTTTGAGAAACTTGAAAGGAATAGAGGGAAAAGTACTTTCCAATCTCTATTCAAACCTAGATCATCTACATGTAAAAGTTAAATTTTCAAAGCAACCATTTTAAAGTGTTCAGTCTAGTTTCTTTTCAGTTACACTTCTAGCATCCACCATCAGTATTTTTTTGTCCTACTTAGAAAAAAGTTACCCAACAGTTTTTTATGGACATGGCATATGACCAATGAGTATCTTCATTTCTCTGTTTGCTCTGACAGGGAGCCAAACGGCACAAATTACTCATATGATCTTCACGGGTATTAAACTTTCCACTATCTACCGCTTTTTCTATTATGTCAATACCACATCCCACTCTTATATTCTGTTTCTGTGGCCTTAACATGGAATTATGCAGGATACACCCAGAGAGCAAAATGCAAAACCTTTTCTGTAAGGAAACTCCAAAAAGTCCCAGGCGCCTGCAGGCTTTGGGTCCAGCACTTACCTTGGCTTGTACAGGCAGCAGGAAAGTCGCTTGGTTTGTACTTTGTGTCCGTTTATGAAGATTCTCATTCTGGGATCAATATAAAGCACAGCAGCATAGGCACGGAAGGAGCGACGCTCAGGCTTTCTGCAAGAGAGGGATGCTTACAGAGCCTGAGCAGTTTGTTCAGCATTTCCTTGTAGGACCAGCAGCAGACATTCTCCCAGTCGGGTTCACAGAATCACCAAGGCTGGAAAAGATCTTTAAGATCATCAAGTCCAGCCTATGACCTAACACCAACACACAACAGCCAGACCATAACACTAAGTGCCACATCCAGCCTTTCCTTGAACACCTCCAGGGATGGTAACTCCACCACTTCCCTGGGAAGTCCATTCCAATGTCTAATCACCCTCTCTGTGAGGAAGTGCTTCCTGATACCCAACCTTCAGCTGTGGTGCAGCTTCAGGCTGTGCCCTCTGATCTTATCACTGGTTACCTGGGAGAAAAGCCCAAGCCCCACCTGACTACAACCTCCCTTCAAGTAGTTGAAGAGAGTGAGAAGGTCCTCCCTGAGACTGCTCTTCTCAAAGCTAAAAAACCCCAGCTCTGTAAGCCTATACCTATAAGACTTTCCCTCAAGTCCTCTAGCCCAAAGCTGACTCCATCGTTTCACCTCCTGGTTAATAAGTGTCTCCTTATTCAGTGCTCAACTTGGGAGTCTCTTCCAGTCTGCATTCTGCTTTCTCTTTCCTTCACAGCTTTCTCCTTTCATTCCGCTCCAATTAAGAAGAGCCATGACACACTACTGCCACAGATGCCCCTCCCCTATCCAAACCAAACGAACAAGTTTCTTCATGGACAAAAGTTGGAAGATTCTCATTGCCCAAGAAACTGTGACCCAGGAGCCAAGGGACCAACAAAAGCAACTCCCCACGTGGCTCTTCACTACCCCTGACTTACTTGAAGCACCTATGTCACAATTCATACCTCATGCAACCGTAACTGTTACCACCTCAGCTCATAGCCATCTTACTTCAAAACACATCAAAGAGACAACCTTAGGCAACAAAGCTAGGTAAAAGAAAAGGCCATTCTATTTTAATTACAGAATCACAGAGTGTTCAGGGTTGGAAAGGACCTCCAAAGACTCCAAACCCCCAGCCAGAGCAGGACCAAAAACTAGGGCAGATCACTCAGAAAGGCATCTAGACAGGTCTTGAAAGTCTCCAGAGAAGGAGACTGCACAACCTCTTTGGGCAGCCTGTGCCAGGGCTCTGTAATCCTCATAGTAAAGAAGTTCTTCCTCATGTTGAGGTGGAACTTCCTGTGCTTGAGTTTGAATCCATTGCCCCTCATCCTATCACAGGGCACAAGTGAAAAGAGTTTGTCCCTGCCTTCTTGACACCCAGCCCTCATGTATTTATAGACATTAATTAGATCCCCCCTCAGTTTTCTCCCCTCTAGACTGAAAAGCCCCAGGTCTCTTAGCCTTTCCTCTTTAGGCAGGTGTTTCAGTCCCCTAATCATCCTTGTAGCCCTAATTACCATGCAGCTATATAAATTGAGGGTTTTCTTTTACTTATATTCTACATATCTTCTACAGAGATTTTCTAGTGAGCTGTACATTTTAAATACTGCTACTGTTTAAATACTGTTACAAAACACTGATACACATATTACTGTCACTCAAAAAGGATGTTCTGAATGCAGATGGATAATAAAGGCCAAACCTATACATCGAACCATTTAACACTCAGCGGGTAACCCACTCGCTATTGAGTTTTCTCTTACCCTTTGGTTAGGCAGGGGTGTGCTCAGACAGAAACTGCTCTGATCACATACAAAAATGGTATTACAAGGTCAGGAGAAAGAAGCTCCTTCCGGTGATCAGTGGGCAGTGTGAAAGCTCACCAGGCATTAAAGAAACCAAAAAGCCTGTCACCTCCCTGAAGGTCCCCAAGCAGTTTGCTGCACCTGTGTACTCAACATCAAGCTAACATATATAAAAATAGCTAGGTTTACAGTGTTTGAAACCTTGTTTCAACAGGAAATTCAAGCACTTCAGAGAAGTATGCAATCTCATAAAAAAGTTAGTTTGCTAGGTGTGCTCATGGAAGTCTGGGATTTAATCAAGCATTTGTCTTAGTTCAGTTTTTCTTTTTCAGTGAACAAAGCTCCCAGAAGGCTCTTGTCAGAATCCCCACCTAATAAGCTGAGCACTCAAGTCTCCCTGAACAGGGGCCTCTGCTCCACCAGCTACCCTATGAGCACATCCTTCTCCTTCCTCTGCAGGGGAAGTCCAGGAGCTGCCACTGCTCCCAGAAAGATTTGGTGATAGACCTCACCTGCACCCACCATACCATTTGCTTACAGAGCCTGACCCATGCAGCACCTTGCATTTTGCCAGGGTGCCTTTAATCACAAAACTGAGGATCAGCTTGAGAGCAGCACAGACTCACAACCAGCTGTCATTCTGCCAAAAACATCTTTGATGAGAGTAGAAAATTAAACCTGTAGCTTAAGGCTCCTTTGTTTTAAGGTGCCAAAAGGACTTTGAGTTTGCTGCTAAGTTGAGACAAGCCAATGCAAATATTCACACCAAGCTCACAGCCAAAATGCCTGAAGGCCTGTCACACACAGGAAGTCCAAACTGCTAAAGAACAAACTAAGGATCTTCTAAATTCCCCAAATCACCACAGAAAAAGAAGCTTTTAAAAAACACATGTAAACAGTATATAACCAAACCCTACACATAATTTCATCAGAGCCCAAGAGGCTGTAACCTCGTCACACTTACGTTCCCTCTGGGGATGTTTCTGCCATCTGAATGTCTCGGGGGTCAGAAGTCACATCCAGCTCTGGTTCTCCATTATCCATTAGTTTGAGGTTAAAGATGATCACCAGGGTGCCTGAGCAAGTAATAAGTTGAACAGGTGAATCTCAGCCAAATCTCAAATCCTGTGCCTGTGACAACACTGTCCATACATACCTTTCTTACCACGGATCTTACTAAACTGCTCCATCACTTCCTGTTCTGATTTGAAAGGGGAATACTTGTAAATTATCTCCGTCTCAATAGCAAACTTCTCTGTGTTGTCAGTCAGAGGCTCCCGGCTGCATGCATTCCAGGTGGGCAGGGGAACAACTACCTGCAAATTGCATCATACCAAGAGTGGTTCAGGCTCACCTGTTGCAACCAGACCCTTCTGCAAGTCACAGCCCAGGGACCTGCCCCTTCCAACAGGTGCCTAACTCACTGCAAGATTCCCTCATAGCTTTTCAGTGCTTTGTATGTCTGTCCAATGTTTGAGGACTCCTTTTTGCCAGCCTCCAAGTTGTCTTTCTACAACATCTAGTCTTAGACTGAACCGTTCTCAGGTGACTGTATGGTACTGGCTACTCATGCTCTCAATGTCTTTTTTCCCATCCACTTGTAATAACTTTCACAATATTAAAAAAACACCCAAACTTTGCTTCTTTAAAAAAGTCAACCTCTGTGCTTAACTTCTCTCTTGAACTCAAATATCCTTCACTGGTATTTATCCTGATCTCACTCTTCATCATTTTTATAGGACTCTAGCAAAGTTATTGGTGTTTTCTGCTGTTTAAAGCAAAAACTAAGAGAACTATACACTGCAGCTGCCTATCCAGCAAATCCTGTCCTCACTTATAATTGAGGTCAAGCCAAAACTTCCGTCTCCAGCAGCCGACGGATCTGCATCACTGTTCCACCTTTTCTTAGCCATCTGCTGGCCAGTCACCAGCACTGCTCCCTAAACATTATTATTATTATTGTTATTTAATTTTTATTATTATTACTACTACTATTATTATTATTATTTGGATTTGTCTGGAAAATACTTGTGCTTCAGCACAGATACACTCCTGTGTTAAGAGTCTAGATACGGAATAAGGCCTGAATTATTTTTAAGATACACAAGTTATCAATTGGTAGAACCACACTGACTTTTTATGTTAAAAAAATAATCCAAAAGAAGATAGATGTCTAGAGTTGAGAACTTCTGGATAGCAAGTTCAATCACACCTTTAGTTCTCCACAGAAAATCAAATCAGATCAATAAATTTAAGTACATCTCAAACTCAAATTTTGTGGGAAAAGAAAAATTAAGAAGTTTGGACATGTCCTGACCTGAGCATAAGTAACTTTAAGTGACTGAAATGATCCCTTCAAAAGTGTTGTTGTTTAGAGAGACCTCTTCAACAGAATTAGATTCAAAAGGAAAAAAACTTTGATTTTGCAGAACCTCTACAAGTGCATTGCTAAGAGAAAACCATACACTGATCCAACCAGAGTGGCAACCAACACTGACACAGCCTGTTCTCCTGTGAAAGCTGGGGGAATTCACATGAGAGAGCATTCACACTATTAGTTCATTACAACAAAGTACATGCAAACCTCATCGATGCCTTCTTCCTCATGGAATGTCCTTGACAAGAAGAGGCAAGTCATGGTGTTGTCCTTCCTCGTGAACATGATGAAATCCTTCCCAATCCGCATGGAACCCCTGGAAACAGATTTCAGCCTGCATGTTAGATCTGATGCACAACACTTTTAGAAAAGCAGACCACATTATTGAGTTTTCTTTCCATTATTCAATTATGAGATGTCCAAACCAGGTAAGACAGAAGAAGGGCTTAAACAGTAACATCTCATTCCTTTCAAAAGGTATCTCAATCTGGACATTTTAATAATGTTTCAACACATTTAACACTAGTCACAATTAAAAGGTGTAGAAGTACAGCATGCCTTTCACAGGATCATAGTATGTAGAATTAAAAAAAAATATCTTTTTTATCTAACAGAGATTTTTTACAGGGGACTTTTTACAAGGGCTTGTAGTGAGAGTACACAAGGTAATGGATCAAAACTGGAAGAGTTTTAGGTTAGACATTAGGAGGAAATTCTTTAGTGTGAGGGGGGTGAGACCCTGGAACAGGTTGCCCAGTGAAGTTGTGGATGTCCCCTCCCTGGAAGTGTTCAGGGGCAGAAAAGACGGGCCTCTGAGCAACCTGATCTAGTGGGAGGTGTCCCTGCCCACACAGCAGTGTTGGATCTGGGTGATCTATAAGGTCCCTTCCAACCCAAACCATCCTATGATTCTGTGATCATCCCTCAGCACCTATCCATTGCATTTTCAAATTGTGTCTGTGCCTGGCAATGTGTGCCATTCTTTTAATCTGTGCTTTATCATTTCTTGTAGTCATCTTGCATATGAACATTTCCAGTGTTCAAGATGAGGTTGGATGGGGCTTGGAGCAACCTGGTCCAGTGGGAGGTGTCCCTGCCCATGCAGGGGGGATGGAACTAGATGATCTCTAATGTCCCTTCCAACCCAAACTGTTCTATGAGTCTAAGTTTCTGGGAGACAGACAATTTTTTAGATTGGCTTAATCATAGAATCACAAAATAGTTCGAGTTGGAAGGGACATTAAAGACCATCTAGTTTTGACAGTCAAGCATGGGCAGGGACACCCCCCACCAGACCAGGTTGCTCCAAGCCCCATCCAGCCTGCCCTTGAACACTTCCCTTTTCCAGGCTGAACAACCCCAACTTTCTCAGTCTGTCCTCACAGGACAGGTGCTCCAGCCCTCGGATCATCTTTGTGGCCCTTCTCTGGACCTTCTCCATGAGCTCCAAGTCCTTCTTATATTGGGGACTCCAGAATTACACCCTGTACTCCAGGTGAAGTCTCACGAGAGCCAAGTACCAAAGCTCACCTTTCACATGTTTAGGCTTCAGTCTGCATTTCTCAGCTGCAATATAGTATGTCTCTTGCTCAAGGTTAAGAACAGGACAGCAGTCTGTCCTTGAAGTGAACAAGAAGGATCTGGGATCTGTCCTGCACTGCAGCTGGATCAGTAGTATCTCAAGATCCATTACACCCCATTTTTTCTATTTCCCCCAATTATTTATAGAGCCCCACAGATTTCCCCAACAGGATGCATATAAATAATCAAGCCACGTGGAACAGGACGAAGGAGAACAGCTGATCAGAGTACACCATACAAGCCCTCTAAACTTTCCCAAAGATTTAAGTTCACCACAGCAAACACCTTCCTCCTTCTTAGCAAATCCCCTCTAACCAGTAAGATTTCCTTCTGGCCTCTGTTCCTCTGCCACTTAATCCCACATCTCCTCTCACTCCTTCCATCATTCTCCTTCTTCTCCACACCTTTTTTTGACTAAGATATAAACATAAGGTTTAAGTCCACCTAACAACTTCCCTATTGAGAGACTGCAGCACTATTTTGCTCCAATTATACTGTCTGCCATAGGCACATTAAGAGTTTGTTTCCTGCTCTGTTGTATTTTGTCCCCAGACCTGATCTGTATCCTCTGCATCACGCAAACATAACAGCAGAAGATTGACATCAGTTTTGGATGGACTTCTCTGCCACTGAAGAACTGCAGCAAATCTTAATGGAACTCCTGTCTATCAAACTATGGTATCTTTACTTAGATTTCACCTGCCTTTCTTTTTTTCTGGAAAAAAAAAAAAGATACACAACTCCAAGCAAAAAAAGCATTTACTATCTCAACTCTGACCTCCATAATCTCAGGAGGGTGGCTTTTGTTATACCTACGATTTCAAACCATTCCCATACTGCCCAATTTGAGTTGACTCAGGCGATCGCTTGGCTGATTTACCAAACTGAATAACACTGGCAGCTTCATCTGGAATGAGAGACAGGGAACAAAAAAAAAGTGTATTTTAATATACAGACACATACACATCTCTTAGATACTTACTCCTGTAAGTAGCACAGAAGGACTATAGCACAGGACAGAATCCCAAGTCAAAGTCTCATCCTGAAGCTCTACCATACAGCCCTGTAAGATACACGCTGCTCAATAGCATCTACATCATCAAAAGCTATGTACAGATGCCATTATGCTGACAAAAAGAGTTTTAAGTTTCAGGCTAGCCCAGTGTCCTGTCCAAGTTGCAGGAAGGTGTTTCGTTTCACAAAAAAATGTCCACAAGAGGATCTGTTGTGTCCACCTGTCATCAACATGCTCATAAACCAAACCACACCCTGAGACACCACAGCTCTGATGTGCTGCATGTGCTGCTGACACCATAACCTCAAAACCACTGGAATTAAAGCATAATCAGTTCTACAAAAGAGGTCTTGAATTTGGGATAAACACTACTTTTTCTTCATGGCATGGAATGGAATGCTATGATCAATGCACTATCAAGACTAAAGCTGATCTTTGCAGCAGACTACTGGAGTGCTTGACAAAAGGGCAGCTGTGGGTGAAAAGGGAATACAAGCAAGTATCATAGCAATTAACAGACAATGTTATTAGCACAGGACAAAATGAAAAGATGTGACAGCTTTGCAGCTGAGCTGAGAGGCTCTGTCATTTTTGGTTCAAACCTTTCTATTGTTCAAGGGATAAAGCCTTTTAACATCATCCATAGGACAGAACAATTTCTCTCCCTTCCCCCAAGAGACAGCAATCATTTCAGTGTTTACTGGGAGAAATGAAATGCAATTCCAGAGACAAGGAACACCAAGTGCCTTAACAGGAAGGCAAACAACAATTACAGCCCTCAAATGTGTACACAAGCTGTGAGGGAGCATGGGACATTGCTGGCCCCATGAGCCAACTATGTGGAGGCTGAGCCCATGGACCAGCTGGATTTAAGCATACAGGAGACTTACCCTGGTCCATCAGTAGTGACTGTGAGTCATTACATTAAGAGGTTTAGTATTAACACCATTGGTTATGAACACCATGAAATCACTAAGTTGGGTGTTAGAATGCCATTTACCATTGAAATTGCTTTCAGATTTAAAGCCATAAATTACAAGGTGAAAATACAGGAGAAAAAGCGTGCAAGCTGCCTCAATTCAGTATGTTAATAATGGAGGTTCATGACTGTTTCAAAATCAATTTTTGACTGGATGAGAGCACGTCTTCATTTCCTTTAGCCTACTGTAGTATTTTCTAGCCAAATAAAGAAAATGTTAGGTTATCTCATATTTGGAGATCTAATGATGGTGGTGGTATTATTATCATTGTTACTATTACTGTGTTAGTTTCAAAGCCTGGTCAGAAAAGGGGATGGAGATATTCTAAGACAAGGCTACCAGAGCCCTTTTGCTAAACAAAACAGTTCTATCAACAACTATTTTAAGAAAACTTTGAGAAGTCTAAAAAGGGAAAAGAGCAATTGTCCAAAGCATTTCCTTTCTCAGAAAAGGTGACCATATGGTTTATTACTCAATGCTGGACATTTAAAAACACCCTATAAAAATTATTCTTTCTGGGCAGAGGGTTGAAGATGACGCTGAGCAAAGGGGACTACTTAGGAGCAGGGGAGCATCTCTCTGCTTCAGGCTTGCTGCCTCTCAGAGAGATTTAATCTTTGCCTCCTCCCAAGACAAATTAATTTTTTTCCAGCTTTTTTTGAGTTAAGGCTCTGAAGCGAGTTTGACTTAAGGCTATTTTAGTCACATTGTTTTCATTTTGTCATGTCTCAAGAGTACTGGATTATAAATAAATAAATGAAAACTAAACTCCCTGGCAACATAAAAGGGATATGTGCCAAACAAAGAAGAGAAAAAACAATCCAAAGGAATTCACTGAAGGTGGCAGATTGATCTTCAAAGCCCAAGAAAAGAAATCTAGGACATAGATAAAAAGTTTCCTAATAAGAAACATCAGGGATGAAGAACTGAGGGATGGAGCTGTTTAGTTCCTGACTGTTGGTCTTCCAGGACAGCAACAGAGCACCTCCTGAATGGCAGACAAGCTGCTGCAGCAGGCACATGGGTTGACACACAATGCACCACCGACACCCTGCATGCAGCTGCCTGCTCGCCTGCTACGGGTCACAAGGCAGCCACTGAAGTCAGACCTGGTTTCACCCTTTGAGGAGAGTCCTCTAGTATTCCCAGGTTCTCCAGTTGAGAATACACTACAGAAGGTCCCAATCTAGGTAGAGAAAATTGTCTTTCTTCCCTTCTCTATAAACTCATCTGCTATATTGACATTATGTAGAGCACTTGCAGTGGATTCACAAAATCTTAGAATCACAGGATGGTTTGGGTTGGAAGGGACGTTAAAGATCATCTAGTTCAAACTCCCATGTGGACAGGGACACCTGCCACTGGACCAGGTGGCTCCAAACAGTGTGGTGTGGTCAGCATGCTGGAGGGAAAGGAGGCCATCCAGAGGGATCTGGACAGGCTGGAGAAGTGGGCCCATGACAACCTCATGAAGTTCAATAAGGCCAAGTGCAAGATCCTGCACCTGTGTCAGGGCAATCCCAAGCACAACGCAGGTTGGGCAGAGAATGGACGGAGAGCAGCCCTGAGGAGATGGACTTGGGGGCACTGGGTGATGAGAAACTCAACATGAGCCAGCAATGTGCACTGGCAGCCCAAAAACCAACTATGTCCTTGGCTACGTCAAAAGCAGTGTGGCCAGCTGATCAAAGGAGGTGACTGTCCCCCTCTACTCCTATCTTGTGAGACTCCACCTGGAGTACTGTGTGCAGTTCTGGAGCACCCAACACAGGAAAGGACATGGAGCTGTTGGAGCAAGTCCAGAGGAGGGCCAAGAAAGCCTCCAGAAGGCTGGAGCACCTCTCCTATGTTGTTCATGCCGAAGAAGAGAAGGGTCCAGGGAGACCTAATAGGCCTTCCAGTACCTAAAGGACACCTACAGGAAAGCTGGGGAGGGACTTTTTAGGACAAGAGGGAATGGCTTTAAACTGGAAGAGGACAGATTAAGGTTTGATTTTAGAAATAAATTCTTTCCTGTGAGAGTGGTGAGACCCTGGAACAGGTTGCCCAGATAGGCTGTGCATTCCCCATCCCTGGAAGTGTTCAAGACCAGGTTGGATGGGACTTGGAGCCACCTGGTCTAGTGGGAAGTGTCCCTACCCACATATGGGGGATTTTAACTAGATTATCTTTAACATCTCTTCCAACCTAAACCATTCTATGATTCTATGATGTGATCATCCCATTCAGTGCTTGTCAGGTTGCCCTCGGTGTACTGTGTTCAGTTCTGGTCCCCACAATTCCAGAAGGTTGCAGACACACTGTACAGGATCCAAAGGAGAACATGGTCAAAGGGCTGGAGAACCTGCCCTATGAGAAATGACTGAAGGAGCTAGGTCTCTTCTTCATGCAGAAGACTGCACTCAGGGGGGAATCTCATCACAGTATTCCAGTACTCTAACAGCTACTACCAAGAGGATGAAGGCTCTCTCTTCACAAGGATACATAAGGAAAAGAAAAAGGGCAGTGGGTACAAGTTGCACTGGGAGAGGTTTCATCTCAATTAAGAAGCAATAAATAGTACTTGCTTAGCTTAAATCAAAAAAGTTTTTAATAGAATCAATTGCTCACAGTCAAGAGGTTAGAACACAGGGGTTACAGCGTAACATTGTGCAGTGTGGTGTACCATTTGTTTCTTACTTGGCACAAGTAGCCAGATTTTCTGTAGACTTTCACCTAGGTATGCTTTGGCTGGGACAGAGTTAATTTTCTTTCTAGCAGCTGGTCCAGTGCTGTGTTTTGGATTTAGTATGAGAATACTGTGGATAACACACTAATGTTTTTGCTGTCACTTAATACTGTTTATCCTAAGCCTAGGACTGTTCAGTTTCCCATGCTATGCCACTGAGCAGGTGCACAAGAAACTCAATCCAGAAGACAAGGAGGCTGCGACTGTCACTGGAAGCTGCAAGTCAACAAGAACAATTAATAGCCTGCCTGACAACAGAGAAGGAATCCCATAAGATGTTAGAAGATCCCAGACCAAAAATCACCATTGGACCAAAAAGGCGGATGAAGAATGCGCAAGAGGCAGGCGCAGAGACTGTAGGGGTATAACTGCCCAGGGATTTCTTTGTTTGAGGTCCCTCTACAGAGGCATCTGAACAAATTCTTTCATTTTTAAAATAAGATACGATGCCTAAGACTCTGATATGGGAAAGCTGGGGTGGAGACTGAATGGAGAGGAAGAACCCAAGGGTGTATGTGTCGGAGAAGAGTTCACTGGCTCACTGAACTCACCTGCTGCAAAGGGACTCTGGTCCCAGCAGATAAGTCCTGGGGGGGTGGGGGAGAGAGGGTGGGGAGGGTGACTCCTTGAGTGGAGCTTCTAATGGGGAAAAGTGTTATGCCCATCAAAGCTTCGGCTTATTCCCTTTTCTGGACACATTATTCTCCTCAAGGTCGCCTTTGGTGTGCAGCAAAACCACAGGCCAGGCTGACTCAACTCCATAATGGAGCAAAAAAAATTTCTTTTGGCCAGATTAGTTTTCTGCAACTGAAGAGGTGAACAGTTTGATATGCGATATTGTGTGAAAGAGCCAGTGCAGAGGCAGGAACACGTATCCAGGCATGGAACACACCCCTTTCAACAGAACCAAGCTGTTAATTCAGCTTAAGCCATAACATGAAACCTCAGCTCAAAAATGCAAGTGTCACCTTCTGTCACTTACTTGAATCCATTCCTGTTCCATCATCCAAAAAACAGAGCATGAATCCACCTCGTAGGTCTTCCCGTTGTTCTGCAAGAGAAGAGTTATTCAAAACCAAGCAAAAGCTCAAGCTCCATAAAATTGAATTGGTGTTCATGACAGAAGTAAAGCAACAACAGGACTCCCACAACCCCAACATGGGTGTAAGAAAGAGAACCAGATTTTTGTTATAGAATGACGAATTTCTCCTGCACTTTAAAACTGTGTGTAAATATATGGCAAAGTAGTATATGATAAAAGCAAAGATTTAAGCATTTAGTATAAACAACTACTCACTTCACCTCACCTCAGCTGAAGGCTGATCTATGTGTTTTCCCAAGTTATTTGTAGAGGTATGGCTTTTTGAAAGACAACAGCCACTGGGGCACAGGACAAACAGCAGAATCACAGAATCATGTAATTATTTAGGTTGGAAAAGCTGCTTAAGGTGATCAAGTCCAACCTAAACCTAACAATGCAATGTCAATCACCAAGGCTGTGTCCCTCAGCACCACATCCTTTACATTCCTCCAGGGCTGATGACTCAATCACTTCCCTGGGCAGCCTGTTGCAGTGCCTGACAAGCTTTCCACTCTGTGTTGGTTTTGGCTGGGATAGAGTTAATTTTCTTCATAGTAGCTCAGAGGGGGCTACAGTTTTGATCAATGTTGAAAACAATGTTGCTCACACAGGGATGTTTTAGGTACTGCTGAGCAAGGGTTACACAGTATCAAGGCCTTTTCTGCTTCTCACACTGCCCCACCAGTGCCTGGGCTGGGGGTGCACAGGAAGCTGGGAGGGGACACAGCTGGGACAGTTGACCTCAACTGACCAAACAGATATTCCGGACCACAACATATCATGCTTAGCAATAAAACCAGGGGAAGAAAAAAGGAGGGGACATTAGGAGTGATGGCATTTGTCTCCCCAAGTAACTGTTCCATGTAATGGAGCCCCACTTTCCTGGAGATGGCTGAACTCCTGCCTGCTGATGGGAAGTGGTAAATTAATTCCTTGGTTTGCTTTGCTTTCATGCATGGATTTTGCTTTACCTATTCAATTGTCTTTATCTCAACCCACAATCTTTCTCACTTTTACCCTTCCAATTCTCTCCCTTACCCCACTATGGGGCAGTGAGTGCGTGGCCATGTGGGACTTAGTTGCTGGCTGGGGTTAAACAACAACAGTCCTTCTTGGCACCCACATGAGGCTCAAAGGGTTTGAGATAATGACAGATATTAATTGCATTGTGCTAGATCGAATTTATAGCTGTTATTTCTGTTTAACTATTAACTGGCAGTCTCTTGTGCTTGCCATGGGGTTTGCTTGCCCTACTGTAGTCTTGAGCGCAGTAGTGACTGCTTTTTACTTTTGTTGCTGGCTGTACTGCTGACTGTCTGACTCTTGCTGTGCCTGGAATCATTCTAGCAACAGCAGTGGCCATGTCCCTGGGCTGGCAGATGGCAAGGGCATTGCTGTTGTTTTTGTGGTGCTGTACTGGACAGGCTGGAACTCCAGTGTGAACTCAAGTCAAAGGGACTGTGATCTGTGAATGAATTCACATCTTTGGCTGTAGATAAGACCGAGCCAGAGCAGGTACATCTTGAAGCGACTGTTGCTGTGCATGGTCATCCCAGAGCACTTCAAAGTGTGTGGCCATGAATAAGGCTACGATGGAGCAGGTACAGCCCTGAAGGGACTGCAAGCCATGGGTAAGACTATGTTGGAGCAGGTTTACTGCCAAAACCACTACACAGTGAAGAAATTTCCTAATATTCATTCTAAACCTCCCCTGGCACAACTGGAGGCCATTTCCTCTTGTTCTATCACTTGTTACTAGAGAGATCAACCCCTCTCCAACCTCCTCTCAGGCAGTTGCAGAGTCAGAAGGTCTTCCCTCAGCCTCCTTTTCTCCAAGCTGAACACCCCCAGCTCCTTGAGCTGGCCCTCCTAAGACTTGTGCTCCAGAACCTTCCACAGCGCTGTTACTCTTCTCTGGACACACTCCAGCCTCTCAAGACATTGGTCTTTCTTGTATTGGGGGGTCAAAACTGAAAACAGTAATGGGCATTAACACCCTCACTTTTATTCTACCAGCTACAATATGCATTTGCAGCCTAAATCCAAGCTAACTACTGTCATAACTAGTGACATGCAAAGAAACAGCAGGAGTGACTTACCAGTGTAAATATCTATTCTTGTAGCATCTGCATCTCTACAAAGCAACAGAAACACAATCAGTATTCAAATGTCTAATAGAAATGAGCCTAAAATCCAGGCACATGCAGTAATTTCCAAAATAAACTGGCTGCAGTGATCACATTTTACAAAAGCCCCACAGCCAGCACTAGCAGACAAGTCAAAATAATTACTGTTCTACTTTTTGCCTACTTGAACCCAAACTGCAGCACAATACACTGCTGCCACACAACTGAACCTAGTTACACAGCATCACTGGCTTTTCAACAAAGTCATATGTAGAAAGTAGAAACAGACTGACTATAAGAACACTGAGATTAATAGTCCAGGGTGACTCTCCTGCTAAGCCATGAGGTTTGGACTGGATCCTCTTGCTTTCTAAACTCCTCACAGAGGACTCTGGATATGGCTGAATCCAGTCTTGGCCATGACCATAAAGAACAGTTTGGCCCTTAAGTCCTGTCAGAGTCAGTTTATTGCAGCTCCAGCTGGTGCTTCCAAAGAAGGACCTGCCTGTATTGTACCTGTGCCTTCTAAGGCCTCACAGTTGGACAATGCACCCATTAACGTGATGTGAACATAACTGTTCATCCAGTTATTGCCCATGATCTTCCCTTTCTGACTGGTCCTACTCTCCTCTACCCAAAAGTCTGTGTTCACCATCACTCACTTTTTGTCAGGACTATTTCCCTCTGTTCTCCAGTTAGTTCGTATCTGGATAATTCTTCAACAGTCCAATTTCTCAAACCTAAGTTTCAATTACTTCACCTTACCTTTACGTTAAGTCATTTTGAATTATTATCTCATTGTCTACATCTGGTTTCAGTGCTGTTCCAGGTGGTCACAGTAAAAGTTTAACTGAGGTTTAATCACAAAAGGTCAACTAAAGCTTAGTTATAGTTTGTGGCCTAAGGGCTTATCACTCCAGCTACTCATGCTAAGCAAGTTAGGCCAAGCAGTTTCCAGTTTGCCCACATTGTAAACATTTGTACAAGTAATTCTAATATTCCTTTAATCGAGTAATCCCCATATTCCTATAGTCAATACAATTCTACTTTAAACATCATATTAAGGGGTGGCAGGGATGATTAAAAGTTTAGTACTTCCACAGAGAACTCCATCCAAATACATTCAAGGTTGTCATAGGAAACTGTGTATTCTCAAGATCATTTAAGTAAAGCCCTTCATACACTATGCACTCTTATCTGTATTTCAAAATGCAGCACGTACAGCACTACTACCCTCTTCTCCAAAACAGGTTTGTGGTTTTTTCTCATGTAGACCATCACATACCCTTGGTTTGCTGATCAGAAGAATGCAGTTATAGTGCTGTAATAAAACTCCACTTCCCAAATGCCAAAATCACTGCTTTGTCTTTGTATCTCAAGCCAAGTACAGCTGTCTCCTTCCCAGAAGGCCAACATGTTTTTTGTCAGAGGAGGAACCAAGATGTTGAAGAGAAAACCACCCATTAATCTCAAAGACTCTACATTTCAGTATGTTGTGGAATTTTTCCTACACAGAAAGCGTCCAGGTTCAGTTCCTTACATCACAAACTGCATAGTGTGATAACTCATGCTTCGTGGAAAATTATCTCAAAATATTTCTGTAATGCCATATCAGAATATTTTGTGAAGCTCAAGAGATAACAATGCAACACTTGGGATGCAGCTATAGTGTGGAGTCCTGACTGCAAACATAAGAAATGTGGCCTAAAACCTGTGACTTCCAAATACGAAGCTTCCTCTCAAGTCTCACAGTTGCTCTGTTCCTGATCTACTTTACAACATACTGCTTCTGATTTCAGTTTCATCTTAACACCATGACTAAGATACTAAGAGTCAAGGATTATCCAAGGATCTTGAGAGTCCCAGCTCTTGTAATTATAATTGTACCAATTTATTTAAATAAAAAGGCAGACTTATTTTTTTCCTTAAATCTATCTTGTGCCTTCTAACCATTTCTCCCCTAATCTGAGTTGTTCTGTGATTCATTCAAACTTACCTTTTTCAGAAAAAATTCTTTTTTTTTCTTTTTTTTTTTTTTAAAGTCTACTAGAAGTCAAATTGCTCACAATAAACAAATAGACAGGCTAATTCAATCTTAACCAAATCTACCTTAGGAATTAGGTAGTCTCAAGTACGTACCTGGCATTATCTACAAGTTCAGCAAGGGCACCAAACAAGAACTCATGGGTAGTTCTGCAACAAAACAGAGAGTCAGCAGGATTACAATGACACTTAAAAGGACAGAACTTTAAATAAACAAGAATCTTAACCACATTTTAAACTAATTCAATTGTATGTCTACACAACCAACATCTTCTGCCACTGATAGTAGACCAGAAACGAGCATTTTACTGTCTACCAGATGCAGCAGACAGAGTGCCCTGTGGAGAATCTGATTCACCAAACTGCTCCTCATTGTAGACTAAAAAGCTATGGCATGCTAAAGGCACTACAGAAAAAATTGACCTAATGAACCACTTGACATTTCATAGAGATCATAGAACCACAGAATAGTTTAGACTGGATGAACCCTTTAAAGGCCATGTAGTCCAGCCCCTCCCCACAGTAAGCACAAACATCTTCAATTAGATCATGTTGCTCAGAGCCCCGTCCAACCTGACACTGAATGTCTCCAGACACGGGGCATCTACCACAGCTCTAGCCAACCTGGACCAGTGTTTCATCACCCTCATCACAAGAAATTTCGTCCTTTTATCTAGTCTGTATCTGCCTTCTTTGAGTTTACAACCATCACCCCTTGTTCTGTTGCTACAGGCCCTCATCATTCTGACCTCATCATTCTTGTAGGCCCCCTTCACGCACTGGAAGATGCTCTAAGGTCTCCCAGGAGCCTTCTCTTCTCCTGGCTGAACAAACTCAACTCTCTCAGCCTTTCCTCACAGCAGAGGTGCTCCAGCCTTCAGATCATTGTTGTGGCCTTCTCTAGACTCCTTAATTATTCACTACATTGCCAGGTCTTTTCATGGCAACTAAACACTGCCTACATGTAAAACACAGACAGATGAGTATTATGCCTAAGGTCTGCCTTCTCCACACACACATTCACTTTGCAGAAGTTGTTTCCGACAAGAAGCAGCTTCCAGATCCTAGGGGACTTTCAAAAGGTGCAATTGCTCCTAACCCAGATAAAGAGAGTCCTCTGCCACCACTGTACCACACCACCTTCCATGCTCAATGCTAAAATCATTTATCCATGTGCCACTTCTGCATAATTCCAAAAGCCATGTTTAGTATTTAGCCTCTTAACTGCCACAGTTTATAAGCAGCACCCATTTGAAAGCCATTTGTTTTGCACCTTAACCTTGGAAAAAGATACATGGTGAGAAAACCTAAAGAGTTAATAAAATAAATTGTCTGCCAATATTAAGGTAGTATGCCCACTGAACGCTCAACACAGCGACCTATCTTCAAAATATAACTATTTTAAATGTAGATGAGTCACATAAACCCCAATAATTATAATAACTACAAGACCTGGAGAAACTGTTGCTAGAATTAGTTGCTCCTCGAGGATGTTCAACGAAGAGACTGAGTCATCAGAAACTGTTTTTATCTGCATGTTTTAGTTTGCATCAAAATTCTTCATGAACAACCTGCTTTCAATGCTACACAAGAAGGCCAACAGGCGAGCAAACAGAAAGTCATATTTACTCATAGTTTCAGTTTTTGAAGAACAGATACATAGGTATTTCCCCTACAAACTATATACCCGTCCATTATGCTAATAATCCAAAATGAACTTCCATATCCATCTTCAATGTCATGATGCCTAATCAATCAACGTAGCTCAAATCAGAGGTAGAGCACATCAGCTTTCAAAGTTATCACTAGAACCATGAGAACGTAGATTTCCATCTCTGCAAGCTCCCTCCCACTTGTCAACACAGAGGCAAGAGACAGAAAGGAACACTGTTTTGAAGACTACCTTCCCAATCAGAAAGGGTCCACAGAAGCTCAAACTTGGTGTTCTTTCCTTTGAGCAGGATTTCCTGTGCACAGATTTTAAGTGCTCCCTCAAGTTTATGGGCACCTACTCAGCTCCACAAATCAACATCCCAGAAGCATATCTAGGAAGTAACCTGTATCAGGAAAAGCCCATAAGCAAAGGGATGCTTTAGCAGTAGTAACTATACTTCCTTAGTAGCTTCTAATATACAATTAAAAATGCTTCAAACTAAGAAAAAATTGCAAATAAGATACAAATCAGGATTTCCAAAGAAAGATATTGGAATGGATTAAAATGTAGCTGTAGATGATAAAAAGGGAGGCAAGAGAAAGCATGATTTCCACACAGCTTGACACCATACTCAACATGAACATCTACCAACACTGGAATCTCTTGTGCTGACAGAGCCAAAGTGGAACCTTGCTACAAGCAAGTGAAGTCCGCTCCAGTTATTTATCGCTAACAAAAACGCATATACATTATAAATACCTTCTACTCAGTATATTAATCTCAATGTAGACTTACTTTGTCAATATCTAATTAAAACCACATGAACTGCTTTGGCCTGATTCAATTAACTCAGCTTAAAAAAAAACCAAAACAGTCCTCCCTTACAGTCGAAAGTGCCAGAAATAATTAACATCCACCATTATCAACTGCTGACAATCTTTCCCCACATCCCAAAAAAATCTTGGGATTATTCTACTTTCAACATATATTCAAAAAACGTAAGGCAAGCTGTTGGCAAAATGGAGTATGTCAGAGCTTGCACATGACCTGGAACATAAGTGTGAGCAGACAGGCGTCATCAGAGGCAACAGTAATCTCCACCAGAGAACTTGAAGTATAACTAGTACTGGTTATACAACTAACAAAATGATACAAGGAATGAGGGGATGTGTCATCAATATCAGCAGTCTTAGCAACAAGTTATCTTGGTGGAGGCAGACTGGCTTGGACCTTCCTAAAACTTCCAACTTTCATTCAAGATAGCTCCATGCAGAAATGCAGGCTTGAGAAGAAACAGAGCAGCTAAGTCCAATACTACCTATTTATAGAAATTTGGCTTATGAAAAAGGTCAAGTCAGACAACCATGTAGTCTTCTACTTCAAACACCTCTACAACCAACCATTTGGAGTAACATTACAAAGGAATAAAAGCTTATTTCCTGAGCTGTCTTCGAGGATGACGCACATTTAAATACAGTTGAACTCCCAAACTTGCATAGTCAGAGAAGTACATAATTACTAATGAAAGACATAAAACTTTATTTTTGTTTGGAAAAATGTTTAGCATCTGCATCAGGAACAAGAGCTATCCTCCCAATACTGCAATCCATTCCACACCAGAACAGACATGCACAAGAAGTGGAAGAGCTTGGGGGGTGGGAAGATGTTGTTGGTCTGTTATTACTAGTATTCCTCAAGGTATTTTGAAGTCTTGCTATTTGAGTGATCTTCTTCCTCACCAATTGTATTCAATGGAACAATTGTAGTTACAGAAAAAACACATTCAATCACAAGCTAAATCCTTCCTATTGTTAGAAGACAATTTCAGCTATTACACTTTTAACACTCTCCTACAACTTTGCATTAAAAATATTCAAAATCTGCAAAAACACAAGACGGTTGCACCCTAGTGTATGTTTGTAACCATCCCAATGAATGGTTTTGGAAACCTTAACGTAGCAGCATTTCATTTTTAAGGAAAACCAATGTGAAGGCAAACAAGTGGCTCTGAGAAGTAATAAAAACAATGCAGGGATAATTTTCACATGTCAATACACAGTAATTTTAATTCTAGGATCTGAAAGAGCTTTCACATAGAATGGTTTGGGCTGGAAGAGACTTTAAAGACCATGTAGTCCAGCCCCTCCCCACAGTAAGCACAAACATCTTCAATTAGATCATGTTGCTCAGAGCCCCGTCCAACCTGACACTGAATGTCTCCAGACACGGGGCATCTACCACAGCTCTAGCCAACCTGGACCAGTGTTTCATCACCCTCATCACAAGAAATTTCGTCCTTTTATCTAGTCTGTATCTGCCTTCTTTGAGTTTACAACCATCACCCCTTGTTCTGTCACTACAGGCCTTGCTAAGTCTGTCGTCACTAAACTATACATCAGGAAAAGGACTTGGATAGGTTGGAAAAGCATGATGGTATTTTTGTTATAAAAATATGGCAACTGAGGTGATTCAGGTACATGCTATGAAATTTGCTATCCGACATGGAAGCATTAAGAAGCTATTGAAACGATCTGCTGCAAATGTCAGGTTTGGGGACTGATAAACTGGCTTCTGCAAAGCACTTCAGACTGAGTTCTCTGAATTAGACATAATAAAACTTTCCTTAAAGAAAGTCTTACAAAAGGAGGGGGGGAAAAAAACCAAACCAAACCAAAACTGCTTTCTTCTGCACCTCAACAGCTAGATGGCTGATTTTTAACTGCAATTCAAAGAACTCCTCCCTCCATGACCATGAGAACATCTTTAACACTGGAATGAAATTTGTGTGAGACAGTATGGTTGTCCTGAATAAGAAAACAGACCAAAAAGACAAGAATCTTCATTGTAAAAAGCCCTATGCTGTTCTTGGGTTGCCTTTGGTTTGGGTTTTTTCCCCTAATTTTTTGTCTTAGGGGAAGAAGGGAGTTGTTTATTTAGTTTGTTGTTTTGGTTTCTTTCCATTGTTTCAATTGCCGTTCCTAGGGAAGCATTTGGCTTATGATCCCCATAATCTTAAAAGGCTCTCCAATCATGATGGCTTTGGCTTATTCAAACGCATCAGCTTGCAGATCCTCCTAACCGTTTTTAAGGCACTTATATATTGCAGATGTCGCACACCAGAAGCAGACCAGCAGCATAAGCAGAACAAAGTGTGGTGGCAGCAACAGCACATCAGCCTTTTCTGCAGCAGACATTGTCTTCTCATGAAGCCAGGCAGAGCTCTGGTGTTCTGCAGGCAAACACAAGCTGCTGACAGAGCTTTGCAAAAAATTTATTTTCTGCAACTGGACAAATCAGCAGCAGCACCAGGAACATGACTCACTATTGTCCATCATCTTCAGGCACTTCATTTCACTCCACATGCAACTGCTACCAGCCAATCCAGAGAGACACAGACCCAAGGTTGACACAGGACTGAACACAGGTTTCTTCTCCTCTGCAAAATCCATTACTTTCCCTATCCTGAAAAGAAATGGATCAGAATGCTCG